CTTGGCCATACAGTAAAATAACTCTATATGCTATTAGAGAGATTCCTTTATATCCATGTTCATTGTTACTCTATTGACAACAGCCTAAAAATGAAAACAACTTAGATGTCCATCAACTAGTGATTAATAGTGAAAATATTGAACACCTAACAAAATGGAATATTATTTATTCATCCTTTAAGAAAAATAAAATTATGTAGTGTAAATCAATGAAACTGGAAACAATCGTCGTGAATAATTAAACCCAGACCCAAAAAGACTAACGCTCCAAATCACGGCCACAATTCCCACACATACCAATCAGGAATTCCCAAATCTTCATCTGTATTGGACCCTTAAAACTTAAAGTACACTGAATTCAGGGTGCTCCCATGGGGAGCATCTCTACTAAGGGCCAAATTGTGACCGTGGATTTTTCTGCTCATTCAGAATGCCTTTTCATTGCTATTTATATACAAGAAAATTCTAGTTACTTTTATGTGTCTATTATCTTTTTGTCATTATTTTATTGGGGGACAGGCCCTCAGTTTATACTCCCACCTGACTTGGAAATCGTATGTAGACCAAGCAGCCTCAATCTCACAGAGATCCAACTCCCTGTCTCCCAGGTGCTGGGATTAAAGGCAGATGTAACCAGCATGGTTTTAAAGAATTATCCTTAATACTTGAGTATTATTTAATATTTTTTCTAAGGATAACTTGACACATGTGACATATACACACTTGTCTCCAAATCCTACAACTTTTTCTCAACATTGTTATCAGATGTACTGCTTCTTGATTTTGTGCTGAAGCATTTTTTTCCACCTAGTAAACCTGGAATTTCCACAGTAACACTCCCATGTGGAGGTGCTTCCTGACCCTCTGAGGACAATGGAGCTCAGACATTCTTTTTCAATGCCAGAATTTCATACACTACTGATTCCTCAGTCCTGACCACTCCCCTCTTCTCCTGTCTGTTCATGTGTGATTGTCTCCCCGAACTCTAGGAATATGCTATCTGCAATGTATTTATTTATTCATCCATTCATTCATTTATGATTTTTTTTTTGAGATAGGTTCTCCCACAATTCAGCTGGACTAGACTTCACTAAAATAGGGTTGCCACAGTCTTACAGAGACTCACCTGCCTCTGCTTCCTGAATACAGGAATTGAAGGTATGTACCTGGCTTACCTGGAATAGTTTCAAGAGTGCAGAACTTCCCAGACCTTACAACTAGGTCTAAAAATATTCATACAGAAATATCTGTAACTTGGTCACAGAATTACTGATCTACCTATGTCACATGAATAACAGCAAGAGTCATAATATAGGGTGGAAGATTCCTGAAAGTATGATGACACCCATCTGACACCCCAGTAAACTGGCAACTAGAACACTGCACAGTGTGCATGCATAATACACACCCACACCCAACGTGAACTTCCATTCCAATAAGGACAAAGTCCTGCCATTTCCACAGTGAGAGTAGTGCTCTGTGTAGTCAATTTGCCATTTGATTGTTTGTGTGTAATAATGGGGAGTGGTGCCATATCTGGGGCTCAGGGTTTATCTCTGCTGATGGCCGATTATACCCTCAAGGCAATTGTATCCACGTCAGCCTTGGTGCATGGAAGCCCATATTACTGAGTTGTAAAACATCAATACATGATACAAGGGTCTTGTGGTTCATGGCTCTATTGAACACTGACAGAAATGGTCAAGGATAGATGCTGACCTCTCTCTAGAGAGAGTGATCTTGTATGCTTGACTACTGAACTCTTCCTTTGCTCGTGTCATCTTTTAGTGTTTATGTATATGGGAACAAACAAGTTCACATGTGTTGTGGGAACCGTTGTAGGTAAATGTAACATGTTTTGTACTCATGTCTTTGAACTCTTGATCCCAAGCAGGGGATAAGCCTTGAGATGGAGCCTAGCTGTATCAAATGTTTTCCTGGGGCCAGAACTGAGTTTCCTCATGTTGCTCCCAGTTGTTTACCTCTCTGCTTTCTCACTGGATAGTATGTACCCAACTATCTCATATATTTCTTCCACCATTTTATAACAAGCTTTTTCCTGAAAACTAGTGCAAACTGAACTCTTTTTCTGCTAAGTTGT